ATAAGATATAAAATTTAAGTACTAATAATAAACTTAATTAAGACTTAAAATTTGATATATTTAGATTAAAGATTATAAAGAATCTTTAGAAATATATTTAGTAATCAACTATTCAAAAAATTAATTATTTAGCAAATTTAACAAGTAATTTTTTATCGCGCAAAGTGCGGCTAAGTTCACTAATTAAATCATAAAGATGGAAAGTTCTAAGTTTGAGTAATAATACGTCATCCATTATCAAAAAGACGACATATATACTTGTTTCATGAAAAATAATTAGACTCGCATATGAGGAGAATATTAAAAGGGATAATTTAGATACCAAACTGAGTTGCTTAAAAGTTAAGCAACATTATTAATGATCACTTCATCCGATGCCCATAAGTTTGCAAAAATGATGACCTCTTAAAAAAACAAAATGAGTACTATAGGCCCCCTCTATTAATTTATACAAACATTTAGGCCTCGTTTGTTTTCATTAAGATTAAGAGGTCTCAATCTGAATACACATCTGAATACTAAGATTTGGGTATTTTAATCTGAATACACATGAATATTAAGATGTGATCTCTAATTCTGAACAAGGTTTTTGAATGAGAAAATAATACTCCAAATTATGACTATTAAAACTTTTTTTTAATGAAAAAATAGTACTCCAAATCACTAAATAATTAATGTTGTTAAAGTTGTAATAATCATGATTTAAAGGATTATTTTTTCATTCAAAAACCTTGATAAACAATATTACACCAAAAATATTATTGTTATGAGACAAAAAGGCATGCCTAAAACAGAAAAACTATGATTTATTATTTTTGTTATTTAATAACTTATTAAATGAGTCTGAATGTTGTTTAGAGTCTCCTACAAATCTGATTCGTTCAGACCTCTTCAGATTCATTAAGAATTTTTTTTTAAAAATAAAACAAATGAACTTAATGGATTGAATCTGAATCATTCAGATTCAGACCTAAAAATCAAATGTACTTAATGGGTTGAATCTGAATTATTAAAATTCTGACCTCTATTAAGTGGAGACAAATGAGTTCTTAATCTACTTTGTTTGATGGTCCAAAAAGAAACTTAATGTTTAAAGATTCTCACCTCAGAAGGTTCTTGTAAAGAATATGATGCATGTGTTTCTTTTGGAGTTTTTGAAACAAGAATGCCTAAACCTTGCCTTCTTTCTCTAAGTACCTATTATACAACATATAATTGGTTCAATAATTAAGAAATTGTTTAACTTCTCATAGTAATAAAATAATTTTGTATAATAGTTATCAAATATATTTACAATTATAAAATAAATAGAGTTTAAATTATATTTAGTAATAGTGAACTTATATTTATACAATCATGTTATGTTCTTATGTTATTACAAATAAATCTATAGATAAACACAAATTGATAATATGATAAAAAGAATAAACGAAATTGCTATCACAAATTAAAATTTACTGATAATATAAATAAATCATCACATTATTAGTGTGTACACTATTAAAAAATAGTCATCTTTCCATTGAATTTTTCCTCTAAAGATTATTTACTGGATTTTACCAATGATATTTTAATGGAATCGATGAAACAAATAATAATAATAATATTTTCATATGTATAATTAGAAAGTTTTCTAATATTTAAATGAAAATCTGTTTCCCGTCATGCAATTTTCAATGAACTGGCTCGAGGTGTAAATTATGTTTTATCACACAAATTTTTTCATTAATTCGCGATAAAAAAACTTATATTTCTAATAGTGGTATAGCTTAAATCCTTAATATTCATCATAGTAACTTAAAATATAAGGAAAATCAATAACCATTTGGAACAAATTAAAAATTTTTAATTATAAAAGGGTTAAAAAGAATATATTAAACCTTGAAAGCATCTTCATCTGTTCGATCATCACCAATATAAATGGGAAAGACATCATTACATTTAGCATATCCTGTTGAAATAAGATTAATAATTAATTTGATTTCTTCTCAATATTTTATATTAATGATAATAAAAAATTTAAAAAATTATTAAAATTTTTTAAAAAGTAGAATATTCTTACCAAGTGATTGAAGCAAAAATTGAAGAGCTTTTCCTTTGTCCCATTTAATAATAGGACGGATCTCTAATACTTTTCTTCCTTGACATAATTTAAGCTTTGGATATTCTTTTAACACTAACCTTACTTCTTGTGATAATTCACCCCATTTCTGTTTTAAAAATAATAAAATAAAAAATAATTCATTATAAAATTAAATAAAATATTTTCTTTTAACTTTTTTTAAAGTTGCAAGTCTTTTTAAAAGACAAAACCTTAAGATTATTATTTGTGCTTTATATAATCTTATATATGCTTTGTCTAAACTATAAGAATAAGAAAATGATGAAGCTTAATTTTGTTTAATTTTACTTTTAAATGTACATTGAATATGGATTATTATTATTAATATACAAAGAGAATGCAATGAATTTTTTTGGAGTAAAATTCACAAAATAATTGTCTTTTTTAGGTTCTGTAATTGAAAAATAGTTATTATATTAAAGTTTTAATTACTACGTGAGATATATTATATAGTCATGGAGTTTAATTTCAGTCGTAATTTAAGATGTTAAAAAGTGTTAGTAAACTATTTTTACGATTTTTTTTTAAGTATACGAAGTTTGAATTTTAACTTGTAATTGTTATAAGTTAGTTATCATTTTTACTAGGTTATTCGTTATTAATATTTATTAAGAGATTTACTTTATGTCAGTTGTATAGTAAAAATTTTCGAAAAATAATATGTGAAATTTGTTGATACCTTTTCATCGACGCAACGGAAATGCACAGACACACAAAACTTATTATTCTCCACTCTAACACCTTCGATAGACTTTGTTTTGTCCAATAATTCTTTGTAAACCTGAAAAAATTATTATAAATAAACATTGTAATTTTTTTTACTTTTTTTTTTTGGAAAATGAACTCTTAATTTTTAAGTATCATTTTTTACTTTAAAATTAAATTTTTATTTTTCAATTTTATAATGAAACATAGTCAAACGCTAAATCTTTGATGGAGCTAGGCTAACCTCAATAATCATTGGAAGAAATTTACTTGCTGGTTGGAAAAGAATAGCTTGAGTTCCCTAAAATTTCAAACATGAAAATGAAAAATATATATTAACTAGAGTTTAATTTTTATACATTAATATTTTGATAGTGTAAAAAATAATCTATACCATAAGAATAAATAGATAACTAAAAATAATAAGTAATAGTCCATCATAAGTAGAGAATTATAAACCCAAAAAAAAGATAAGATATCAATGATTAAGAACACGCTAATAATCGAATGATACAGATTTAAAATTTGAAATTTATAAATTTTTATAATAATTTAAATTTAATGTTATAATATAGGGCAAATTTATAGTCAAATAAAATTTATTAGGCTTATGTGAATGGTAATTGGTAACCAATCCTCTTACTATTTTTCCATTGAAATTTTCAATTGAAAAAATGATTTTATTGTTATTTTCATAAATATTTAGATTGAATCGATAAAAAAATAATAGTAATTAAATTTACTCACTTTCTTACTGTATTTAGAACCTTTTGATGGTCCTTTTATATCCATCCCATGGCTTCCAGCATAGTACAACTCTGATAATTGTACAAAATTGTATACCTATAATTATTCAAAATTCAGAATATATATAAATAAATAAATAAATTAAAAAAAACAACAACTATATAAACCTTCAAAAAATAGAAAAAAAAAATGTATACCTTGTCTCTGCACCTCCCACTAACTATAGCAGTAGGGAAATATCTAGCAAGTTTTCTCACTGTTCCTCTCATCTGAGAATGGAATAAACGCGGTCAGAAATTAGCTATAAAATTTATCGATAATCTCTAGTTAACTCATCATCAAATCGCTCATGTTTATTGGATATTCATATAATTTTGTGCTAATCTATAGCTTAACGCTACTAGCACGTGGAGATTCTATTGTTTAACTATTAAATTTTATCTATCACTAATTCCTTAAGTTTCTCGTAGTACTAAAAGTGCTCGAAGAGAATTGAAGATTTTAAGTTGCATGTGTGCACGTTAGGTTAAAAATATAATCGAATAAATAAAAGTTTAATTTTTAACCCTTCACATTTTTAAATGCAATGACTATACTCACACCCTTAAAAATGACATCATGACAAAAAAAAAGTCATAAGTTGCAATGACTATACTCACACCCTTAAAAATGACATCATGACTAAAAAAAAGTCATAAGTTCGAGTCTTATCGGCTATCGCTATTCATTATTAGTAATAAAAAGGAGTTTAATGTGCTTAAGTCATGCGCGAAAAGAATGTATCAGTAAAGAATATATCAAATATATAATAAAGTAATTAAAGATATATTCTCTTTAGTTACTGATCAATTCTAACATATAAATTTATAAATGAGATCAGATATCACACGATTCAATATATACTGATAATATATTTACACAATCAAGTCAGTTAAAACACAAGGAGCACTCTTAATTTGTTAAAGAATGACAAAAGTCCACATCGATGGTTAATGAGATGGGTGGACTCGTTACAAGGCATGTGCAATCCTCCTCCCTTTGAGCTAACTTTTGGGGTGTGAGTTAGGCCGAAGACCTAATTTCACATGGTATCAGAGCAGGGCCCGTCTCACCCGATGTTGGGACTCTCGAAATCAAAAATTGTCCACGCACCCAGATGCTAAGCACTGGGCATGAGGTGCGTGTTAAAGAATGATAAAAGTTCCACATGGGTGTTTAATGAGATGGATGGACTCGTTATAAGACTTTTGGGGTGTGAGTTAGGCCTAAGATCTATTTCATATAATTTTCAATGGATATCGTCCCAATGGGAATTGACTCGTTATTAAAGAGTTATCAACGGGAAAAATTTATCAAAAACATTTTCGACAAGTCAATTTTCGAAAAATATTAAACATACTTACATCATGAGACATGAAAGCTTGATCAGGGTCATCAACAATGGGAGAAAGGGTACCATCATAGTCTAAAAACATTACAATTTTCTTCCCTTTAGAAACACTTATTATATCTTCAAACATGTCAACTGCTGATGGATGATGCACCTGTTTCATTTATTAACACACCAATAATTTAATTTTTTTTTTTTAATCTTGATGATCTCAAAATGTCCACATCTATTACATCATTGGGTAATAAAACAACATAATGTAAAAAAAATATTATAATATAAAAATACATGTAGTAGTCATAATTTTCTTTTAGGATTTAAAATGCCATAATTAATTTTTTATCGACTAATACAAAATTTTAAGTTTAAAGGTTTTAAATTTGAGAAACGATAGCTTATTGAATTATGGATGAATCATTTATATATGTTAAGTAAAAAAAAGAATAAATCAATCAAACTCTGGTTAAAACTCTAGTCTCGTCTCTAATTTTTATGCTATCAGTATGTTTTGAACATATAATTCTCTATGTCTCAAATTATGTGCCGACCTATTTTTTGACACACCCTTAAGAAACATTAATTAGAAGGGACGTTTTTTTAAACTATTGTAACCCTTATTGGTATTTGAACTATCATAACACCGCCTCATTACTGAGGTACTAAAGTTAAAATGGAAAAAATATTTTAAACATTTGAAACGATAAATAATTTAAAATAATTATTTTAGAATTTACGACAGATAATAGGAATCCTCACCATCCAAGAAGTCTTATCTTCATAGAGAGTTGTGGACATGTGATGAGTAGGAGAAGAAGCTCTCATTGAATCAATCCAAGATTTCATTATCTTTGGATCACCATTTATTTCAACAAGTGTTTTTCTTGAAATATTATTGATGCAACTTCCCCGTGGCGGCGGTGGTGGAGGTGGCGAAACCATCTCCACCACGAACATGGTGGAATTGACACAGGATTTAGCATCAAATAAATTTTGTTTAGTCATTATTATATCTACCTACACATTCAAAAACAAAAATATAATGAAAAAAGGATCATTTTTAAAAAAAAAAAAAAAAAAACCCCCACAAAAATCTATCAAGTAGAAAAAAAAACATTTCATTTTTTTACCTAAATTTGTTGAACAAAAGATGAGTGGAACTTCAGAGCAATTGTGATTCTTGAACAAGAATAGCAAAGAGGTGAGAGAAAGAGAGTGTGTGAGAGAGATTTGGGGTGGTTTTTAGTTATTTTATAGTTGTAACTAGATATTATGGGATCGTTCAGATTAGAATGATGCAGATATTAATGATACATATAATAATTATATGATTTTTTTTTTGGAGATATTTGAATTAGCTCCTTCCAATCGTATCTCTCTAACATAATAGAAAAGATTGAACATGCTAGAGACACATAATTCAAAAATAAATTTTTTAAAAGATTATTAAAATTATAGTAAACTACATAAATGGGCCATTAAATTCAAAATAATTAAATGTTCATATTCAATCCAAAGTAATAATTCAAGAAATACTCGTTCTCTCATAAATAATTATAGCACATATGCCCCCTTCTCCTCCCCCTCGGTTGATAATTTTTGCTTAACTGATACAAAATAAGTATCAGTTACTGTATTAATATAATTAAGATTGGTAATATCACTTAATTGATATACAGTATTGTATTGATATCATTAATATTTCTTATTTAGAAATTACTCATTAGTCAATGATAAATAAGAGTATATGTATATTGTTGTGGTATCATTAATGTTTCTTATTAAGAAATTAGGCATTAGTTAGTGATACTGTAAGAATACACGTATATCGTTGTGGTATCATTAATGTTTCTTGTTAAAAAATTACTCATTAGTCAATCATACTAGATCAGTATATGGTATCATTAATGTTTCTTATTCATAAATTACTCATTAGTGAATAATATTGTAAGAATATATGTATATTTTTTATGGTATCATTAATGTTTTTTGTTCAGAAATTACTCAGAGTACACATATATACTCTTATAGTATCATTGACTATTGAATAATTTCTTAATAAGAAACCTTAATGATTATGCATTGTTTCACTTAAAACTCGAATATAAAATTTTCTATACCTTGGGAAACTTACATAAATATACAATAAATAAAAAATATTTATCATTTATAGCAGTATCATTTTTTTTTCATTTGATCACTTTTAATATATTTATAATACACCTTTAATTCATATTACAAAAAACAATTTATTATTCATATAAATACAAAATTTATTGATGGATAACACATTTGTCACACATTTTAATACACCTATAATACAATATGTCAACTTCTTATTAAACAAGTCTAATATATTTTTAAAAACAATTACAATATATATGTATTACAAACTTAATTCACCTTTAATACATATTACCCATTTAATATAATATCACTATAAATGATAATAAATAAAAAATATTACTAAAATCAATAATAATTTATTAAAAGACACTCATATAAATAATTTTTTCAAGATAAAATATTTACTAATAAAGATGACTCCATATTCAAAATATTTATATATAACAGACAAGAATCCCAACAAAAAGTTAGTCATTCTAACAATTGTTTATTTCTATACCATTATTCCCCCACCCCCACCCCCACCCCCACCAACTAAGTATGAGATTCTTGCAATAACAATATTTAGTCTTTATGTCTGGAATTTCTCACATATTGCTTTGCAACTATTTTTATGTTTTATTTGAAAAGAATAACCAACTTTTTTGAAAAATTCCTTAATATATATCCTTCTTTGTTTTTTTTTTCTCTATTTTTATTTATAGATAACATTCATGACAAGTTTATTGGTTTTGTTGTTTCTAGAGGCAAAAAGTGTTTTTTTGGTTCTAATTTTGTAAAACTTTTTAATTTTGAAAAGTTAGATATATTTTTTTATCACGATTATGTATTTTAAATATTAAGATAATTAATTATGGTTACATATAATTTCTTTCACGTTATTTTACAGAGGCAAATTTTATTTTAAAAAACCATGAAGATACTACATCTGAATTAGTAATTAAAATTTTTAAAAAATTAATTTTCAAAATTTAAATGGTGTCATATAATTTGGGACATAGTGAGTTATAAAAAGCAAATTAAATCTTAACTAAATATTAGTAAATGAAATTTCTTTCAAAAAAATACGATTACCTAATTTATAAAATTATAGTTTATATATACTTAAAAAATTCCTTTCCAATGTTTGTAACATATAAGTCAAAAAGCTTATATTATATAATAAATAATATTAGGTAGTTTTGAAAATTATTCACATTATATTGTTGGGAAAATTACGCGGATAAACAGATTTATACTATTTAATTATTCATCACGGCTATAGTTTACTATAATTATCACTCGCGACTAATATTATACATTAATTATGTGGGCTGACTTCGAGTTTGTATAATTAGTCATGTTTGTATATGTATAATTTGCAAGGATATACAAATATATATGCATAATATACAATTTTTTGCCCTATATACATATACAATTCACCTCTCTCCCACTCTCTGCCCTCTCTCACTCGCCTCTCTCCTCCCTCTCCCAATTTCGCTTGCCATTTATACAAATGTGTATTAATATACAGTTATATACAATTATATACACGTACAATTCATTCTCTCCCACTCTCTCCCCCCCTCTCTCGCCTCTATCCTCCCTCTTTCGATCTCGATCGCCTCACTCCTCTCTCTCTCTCCCAGTATCGCTCGCCTATCTCCTCCCTCTCGCAGTCTCTCTTGCCATATATACAATTACATATGTATAATATACAATAATCTAACCAATATACATATACAATTTACCTTTCTGTCACTCTTTCCCCTCTCTCTCTCCTCTCTCCTCTCTCTCCCAGTCTCGCTCGCCTCTCTCCTCCATATAACATGTAGCTACAAAATGTAATTATCAAGCTATAATTATGGAGAGTAATTAATTATTTTTAAGTAGCTATATGTGAAAGTTAGTACTTCTCAACTTATTAGTAAAAACAACTTACTTATATTGCAGTCACATTTTACTCTCATAATTTTTATTCGTTGTTATTGAATCATTATTTAATGGAAAGGCATAAATGCAAAAAAAAAAATTATATTATGAAGAAGAAAAATTAAAACGCGAAAATAATATAAAATTGCCAAATTGATTCTAGAAACTGTGATAGTCAAGCTTCCCTCCCCCCAAAAAATAATTGGACATAACTCTTCGGAATATTCAACAGAATTATACTTTTTTTGTCACAAAATTGTAGGTTATTTTTGGCTTTTTGAAATATAATTTATACTTTTTTTTATTAATATTGAATTTTTTAAATTTTTATATGCTATGAGAAGAATGAGAATTAATTTATGACTTTTGAATATTTTAATTTATGTTTTTAAAATATTTAGTAAATTAAATCAAATGTTAATTTATCTTAAAAAATTAGTTAAATTGAGAATAAATTTCTTAATAAGCATTCAATTATGAAAAATTATGTAGCAGTCACTTAATTTACTATAGTGTGATAAGGCAAAAAAAAAAAGAAGGCAAAATTAAGAATAAACCAACTTTATGTCCAAAAAGTGAAGTTTAATGTGATATTAGAAAGCTAATAAATCTTTGATTTGATTCTTAAAACTTTATGTTATCATATTCTTAGTATTAGAAATTTAGAGTAACAAACATAGCTTGTAGTACAATAATGGAATTTTATTAGATATTTCCCCAAACAAGATGTTAGCCAATGAAGTATAAACTTTGTCTCTCATAGTTGTTTCGTGATGTTTATGCAAGCCTAAGTGTCACGATCGAAGTTTATGACATGTATATATATTTTTTGTCGTTTTAGTTTTATATATAGTCTAGACCTTAAGATATTTCTTATGGACTACTTTTATCGTCAAATTAAAAAACACACATCTTCTAAAGCTTGTATTATACGTTATCGAATTCTTCACTTTTCTTTTCCATCTCAATATGAGTTTATGCACCCCTCTTTGAAATTTTATCCGCCTAGAAGTCTGTTAGTCCATCTTTCCAATCCGTCCTTTACATTAGTGGCGGAGCCACCTTATAGTTATGTGGTTCGTTCAAATCCGTTTCTCTAAAATGATACTTTTTTATAAATGGTTATGTATAATATACCCGCTTCAGCTACTTCGTGTGTCTACTTCTTAAAAATTTTGAACCCCTTATATATTAAAAATTCTGATTCCACCGCTGCTTCACAATCATTAGATCCCACTTTGAACTCTCTTTTGAGGAAATTTAGGTAGTTTGGTAGTTAGAACTATAGCTAGTTGTCTATACAAAAGATTAAATAGAAGTTGAAGTCTAAAATAAATCAATTGGAAAATAAAGGCTTCTTCAAGTGCCCTAGATCCTTTAAAGTAAAAGAATGGTAGATATTCGACTTAAATGACAAAAAATTCTCAATCATTCATTGAATGAGTATTAATTCTTATGCTACCTATGTGTTTGTGTTTATGTATGCAAGCATCTATTCCAATCTTTTTAGTGTCACGTTCCAATTCCTAGTTTTATACGAGCGTGTTTAACTTGAAACAGTATTTAAGAAAATATTAAATATTTAATATCAAATTATTTTAGTGATTCATATTTTGGACCGTACCATAAGAAGCAACAAAGTAAAAACATACTTCACTAGAGGTCTCAAATTTGAGATATTGAGAATAAAAGCATTCTATTAAAGTGTTGCCCTCGAAAAATATATCATATGCACTATATATGATTATAATTTTAATTAAATCCTAATATGAATATCAAACACTAATTGGAGAAAAAAAAAGCTCATATTTAATGATTCGAATAATGGAATTTGGTACGAAATCGATGATTCGAGAAGAATATAACATGTGTAAGAAGCCCACACATTCAACCAATAGACCCTTTAGAAATGTTGTATATGTATGAGTCTAAAGAGGGTTGATTCCAATTATGACCACCAAGGCCAATGGATGATTGTTGATTAATTGGTTGTCTAGTCTCATTTATTCTATAAAATTATTTTAGTTAATGAAATAATATATTTATTGCTTACTTTATTAAAAATCATTTCTTTGAATACTTTTTAAATGGTAGCCACAATAACTGAATAACATCTCAAAAAAGAGCTGAGTTTTCTTCCCTTTTCGTCTATTATTAATCTGGGCCTTCACCAGGTAATGTATTCGAGAATAGAAAAGAGTAAAAAAAATTTATAATTTTTAAAATGATAGAAAATTTTGAAGAAATTAAATAAATAATGCAATGAAGGAAAGCATATGCACAATGTCTTTGAAATTCAAAAAATATAAAAAAGTAAATACAAAAGCTTTAATATCTGTTATACAAATATATATAATATAAATTTAATCTTATATACGATGAAAATGAAAGGAGTATTTCGA